CTACAAGGGAGTTCCCATAAGGCTGTCAGCTGATTTCTCAAAAGAAACTTTGCAGGCCAGAAGGGAATGGCAAGAAATATTCAGAGTGATGAAAAGCAAGAGCCTACAACCAAGATTACTCTATCCTGCAAAGCTGTCATTTAGAATTGATGGCCATATAAAGAGATTCCCAGACAAGAAAAAGTTAAAAGAGTTCATCACCACCAAACCGTTATTATATGAAATGATGAAAGGTCTTTTTGAAGAAAAAGATAAAAAATATGAACAAACAAAATGGCAATGGATACATATCTATCAACAATTGAATCAACAAACAAAATGAACAGGCAGAACAGAAACATTCTCATTGATACAGAGAACATTTTGTTGGTTGCCAGGTGACAGGGGGGTTGGGGGAATGGGTAGAAAAAGGTGAAGGGATTACAAGTACAAATTGGCTGCTAGACTGACAAACCTCAATGGGAAGGGGTTGAGGGGTGGGAAGAAATAAACCAAAAAACTTATATGCATAACCAAAGGACACAGACAACAGTGTGGGAAGAGGCAGGAGGGGGACAGGAGTGGGGAGAAGCGGTCAATGGGGGAAAAATGAGGAACATCTATAATACATTCAACAATAAAGATTCAAAAATTTCAAGATTTTAAGGAAATTTTTCTGTTTTTAATGATTAATTTTTTTAATTAAATATTTGATACATTTAGAATGTATCTTGTATGATATGAGGTATGGATCCAACTTTATTTTTCCCCAGGTGTCTTACCTAGTTGTCTAATTGAACAACCCTTGTTTTCCTCACTGATTCGAGATCTTTATCAAATCACAGATTCAAATCTTATATTCTTGTATGTGACTTGTTTCTCTTTCTAGACTTTGTGTTCTGTTATTCCATTTTTCTATCTGTATGTGCATTAAATATTACTTTCATATTTAATTATTAAGGCTTTATACTATACTAAACTATACTATACTATAATCTAGTAGGGCTATTTTCTCTTATGAAGACTCTTAACTTCCAGAGCTTTCTTTATTATTTATGCTGTTTTTTTTTTATTCTTTTAAAAAAATCCTCATCCAATGATGTCAGTGGAGTGTTGAAGTCCCCTGCTATGATTGTATTGCTGTCAATTTCTCCTTTGAAGTTGTCCAGAGGTTTTAAAATATATTTTGGTGCTCCTATATTGGTTTCATATTATTTACCAAGGTTATATCTTCCTGTTGGATAGATCCTTTTAATATTATGTAGTGGCCTTCTTAGTCTCTAGTTATGGCCTTCATTTTGAAATCTATTTTATCGGATATGAGTATTGCCACCCTGGCTCTTTTTTCCTTTCCGTTTGCTTGGAAGATTTTTTCTATGCCTTCACTTTCAACCTATGTGAGTCTTTTGTTGTGAGGTGGGTCTCTTGTGAACAACATATATATATGTGTGTCATGCTTAAAATCCTCATCCGAGGATATTTTTCCCCCCATTTATTGTCAGAGGGGAGGGAGAAAAAGAAAGAAAGCGAGAAACATCAAACAATGTGAGAGACACACATCGATTGGTTGCTTCCAGAATGACCTCGACCAGGGCCAGGGATCGAACCACAACTGAGGTACGTGCCCTTGACCAGAATCAAACTAATACTCTTTGGTCCACAGGTGGACGCTCCAACCGCTGAGCCAAACTGGTCTGGGCCATGTCAGTTTTTCATATGAACTTCACAATCAGCTTTTCAAATTTTATTTTTAAAAAACCTATTGACATTATTATTTGGATGTTGTGAACTTCTTAGACTTATTTTCAAATTTTCTTAAATACAATACACTACTTAAGACCCTTAGGTCTGCTGCAGCTGGGCATGGTGCTCACAACAAAACGATGTGTTAAAAAGCTGAGTTTTCGTGGTTGTATGTATGGTAATTGAGATTCGTTTATGCACTCACTTAACAATAGATGTTATTTATCATCTTGATGTTCCTAGTTATAAGACACTTGTCATCTCAAAGAAATTAGAAAGGGAAAACAGATCGTTCAAACATGAAAAACTTCCGGAAGGATGTTGCTTAACTGAAAACAATAGCCCCCAAACCTGCCACCCCAACTTCATACCTCCTGCCCTCAGTCAAAGGAATGCTCCTCACAGCCACTGAAATCTCCAGTGCTTTGTGGTACTGACCCAACTTTGGCTTTAGGTTTCTGATAAGCACTTCATGTTCTTTAAACTCTAGCCCCTTGCTCCTCAAAGTGTGGTTCATGGACCAGCCGCCTTGGCATCACCTTGGAGCTTGTTAGAATTGCACACTCTTGTTCCTCCACCAGACCTGCTGGAGCAAAGTCTATACTTGAACAGGACCCTGAGGTGGTCCATAGGCACCTGTAAGTCTGAGGATCAAAAGATCAGTGGTTCTCACAGTGTGAGTCTGACAGCAGAATGGCTTTGTCTGGAACCACGTAGAAAATTCAACTTCTTGGGCCCATCCCTACACCTCCTAAATCAGAAGTGCATGGGTTCCGCGCAGCAATCTGTTCTAACAAGCCTCTGAACGATTCTTACATGTGCGAATGAGTGAGAATCACGGCTCTAGGTCAGTGACTCATCCCTGGCCAGATCTAGGTAGCTCTGGCAACTCCCCATGCTAAGAGGGCACCGCTCATAAGTTACATCAGAACTTCAGGGTTTCAGGCTAAGCAGACAGCATTTTAAAACTATACAAGGTGAGTCCAGTGTGAAGTCACAGGTGAGGACCTCTGTCCTGTCGCAAACAATGCTTCTCAAACCCAGCTTCATCCGAATCACCTGAGGGTCTTTCAAAAAAAACAAAAAACTGATGCTCAACATATTCAGAGATGTAAGTTGGTTTGGATAAAGCCGAGAATAACTTTAAAAAATTTTTGTTTCTTGGGTGATTTTAATATCCAGCCAGGATTTCAAACCACTGTTCTAGAAATGCCATTTCCCCTGCATACACTTCAAGTCACATTAAAGAGAATAAAGTTTGGATGTAATGGAAGAGACGCATTTTTCAATTCCACATATTTACTGAGTTCCTGCAGTATGTTAGGCTAGTTACTATGAAGATTAAAATTAGTGCAAGGCATAGTTCTTGACCATAAAAGAATATATACTCTGTATTGGCAGAAGGACTCCTCATTTCATATATAAATCATTATTTAAAAGTAATATATTCTATGATACTGACTATACTTTTAAAAGTTACATATATCATTACATCACTGTTAGGTCAAACTAATTTTTATCTTTTTTAAAAGAACAGGAGTAAAGATGAAGAAAATATGTTAGAAATGGTTATAAAACAATTTTGAATACGATAAGCAATCAGCCCTTAGATATTTGAACCAGGAGAAAGCAATGGACAAGGCCAATGGCCAAAGAATAATTCATTAGCTTAGAGACTGAGCAAGCCTAAAATGCTTTAACATCTCCTCCTTGGCACAATAAAAATTATGCTATGGACTCACTGAAAATCAACTCAATCCAATAGTGTTTAGTAAATTAAGTTATAAATACTAAAATAATTGGCAACTAAGAGCAATTAAAGAGCTTATAATAAATATTTCCCCCTTTTATTATTAGAAATATGACTATTTTGGCTATTTTGCCTCTCCTATATCAACTTATTTTGAGAACACAGTTAAAAATAATAAAATATATCCTAGCCTGGGAGAAATAACTAGCTATAAACATTTTCCACATATATTGGACTATCAAATTTATTTATAATTTTAAATGAGCAGTTAAAATTCAAAATTTCACATAAGTTTATGAAACCAAAACATTAAACATCTAAATGTGGGTCGAAATGTTGAAAACTCTGCTTGAATTCAGCTGTTTGTTTTGCTAATTCAGCTCAATGTACTGCACCCTTGCCCGTGTTCTGCTCCTGGTTACAAAGGCCAGAGTGTGACACACGCTTCACGACGACACGAGGAGAACCCTTTCCTTTCTTTAAATGTGAAGGTCTAACTGGCTTTATTAAGTGATTCACGAGTCGGGCACCATCCCATCTGGCAACTAAAAGGTGCCCCCTATAAAAGGAATTTAGAGTCAAGGAAATAATCACAAATGTTCATCCCATCTCTCTTGTCCCATCAGAAAATACAGGCTAAAATAGGCTACCGCACCTTAAATGATACCAATTTAGATCTGGAATAGGTCTAAGGGAATCCCTATGTAATGTAATAACCTCTCTTTCATATTTAACTGACCCCACAATAGTAGGTGATGAATTTCAAGCTGTTCCCCCAATGAGGGTGGTGGGCATACTGGTTCAGCTACACTCGTTTGTGTCCATAGACATGTTCATTAGGAGGAGGGTGCCCATTAAACAGAAGTTCACTGGCTTCAAGGTTTTAAATCCATCATCTGTGAGAGAACTGACCTTCAAAATGGTCAGATGAGAAAGGGAGGACATTTGTTATTATTCTAATGTTATAGATAGAGACTAAGGTTTAACAATGAAGGATGGCGTAGTGATTGTCAATGGGGTTAGAAAGGTAATAGAAGAGCCTGGATTTTTAAAAAAGTATCCAATGTTGTATCTGCCTCCCTCCCACTGCCACCCAGTAAGTATTCAGCATCTGATTGAGAACCACTTCTGTGTGAGTTATTAAAGGGCTGGGGGCATCTGACGGGTTGAAACCCAGCACTGTATGGAAACAAAGGCCACGACCCAGGAAATCCACCTACAGGGTCATATTTTATCTGTGGGAGCATGCGCTCAGGAAAATTCTATGGTTCCTTGAATGAACAACATTTTAGAGATAGTAATCGACTTACAGAACTATAAACCATTCATGACTTTTATTTTGCTTTTAGGAATTTGTGGATTAATTGCCTCCATTCTTCAAAGAGGGCAAGGTATAGGGCATTTGCCTCACTCAGCCAGGTGTTTACAATGACATCACTATCCCAGAGGACTGATATCCAGCCATTTCAAACAAAGGCAAATTCCAGTATAGTGCTTCGGATGGTGTTTTTAAGTTGCTTCTACATACCTGTTCTGTGTGAGTGTCCTCCCTCTTTTTATTGTGAAGTTGAAGATAAGAGTCCACTTTGGGGGTGGGTAATCCCAAAGTCAGCTTGTTTTGTTCCACAAAATATGGTTTGCACTTCTTTCGCCGAGGACCACGTGATCTTGGCAAGAAAACCTCATTGTGTGAACTTGAACTCTTCAAGTACGGAGAGAGGTTGCTGGACTTCTCTGCCAGATCACTGCCGCTCAGCTCTGAAGACGGGCTGCTGTGATGGGCACCACGCTCGTAGTGTGGGCTTACAAACTCACTACCAAGTAAGGAGGCTTCACTCTGTGGGCTCTTGTCCTGTTCGCCGTCCCCGGCTGGGAGCTCCACAGAGGTCTCCTTGGAGGGGTAGAGCGGACACAGGGTCGGGTCGGCTGCGGAGCTGTCTGCAGATCCCGGCAAGGCTCCCTCAGCCGACGCCCGCCCTGCCGCTTTATTTCTCCAGTCTGGGTCATAGCGGAGATCTGAATATTTGTCTTCTTTGGGTTGCTGGCTGCCCAGAGCAAAAAAAAAAAAAAAATCAAGGACTTAATCGAGATACATTTACTCATTATATTAGGTTGATAATTTTATTTAATATAAATCTCAATCTTCCTCCTATACTTTTCATTTTACTATTGATATGTTAAAGACATATCTCAGGCTCACATTAGGCCTGCACACTACACATGAGGGTAAAAGGTCTTAGTTATTAAAGTTTATTAAAATATGGAATAAAAACAGGGGAGAGTTAATTTCTAAATGCCAGGAAACGCCTGAAAAACAAATGTCTCTAATGTTAAACCAGCCAATGACTGTGGCCCAAGGAATGCTGTTACTGAGGCACGCCATAAGGATTTCGCTGAAGGTAAAGTTGGCTCCACAGTTCAGGTGGCCATACACACATCTGGCTCTACCTAGGGAGCGAAATGTGGCTGTCACCTGGACAGTGTCTCAGTCTTTCAGAGGCAAAGCAAGATCTGCCCCCAGCTGAACTCCTACAGAGGTCCATCCTCCTTTTCAGTGACTACTTTTCAGCTCACTTTGTGCTTGCAGACTTTACTAAATGTACTACAGAAAGATCCCAAGGTTTAGAATCAGAAGGTGGCTCACCGGGAAGCTCTTGGTTCACCTGTCTTGGTTGTCAGGTCTGTAGACAAGTCCGCGTGTACTGTAGCTGTAGGACAATCTTGTTTGAATAAAAGTTTAAACAGATGGTCCTGGCTAAGGGAAATGAACTGGAGGGAAGTCCATAAACAGCGTATAAGACCCCAGATAAAGTCTTCTCTTTCCCCATGGCAATCTCAATTTGTAAAGCACCTTCTAGTCTTAACCAAAAAAGAAAAAAAAATGCTGGTAATGTGGTATATTAAATGGCCCCTTTGATCTTCAAAAGCTAAATGGGAGAGATTTTCCTGCCTTGAGTTCAGTAGATGAATCCTCTAATCAAAAAGGAAATGTAAATCAGCCAGGCTTCTTATGCTATTTGATATTCCCATTTACAGAGGACATAATTTCATGCTGGGTAAACAAACTAATGGTGCCCCTGATGCTAATTTGCTCTTCTTAATGTGGACCTAGATTTACTTGATTTGATGTAAGGAAAAACTAGAACAAGCCAAACTCCCATGTCTTGCTAAATTGTCGTTTTGAATTTTTTAGTTCACATGTTAAGATGGAAAACTTTCTGGAACTGGCTGCTCTTCCTTCACCATCAAGGGAAGAGACAATACATTCTCCTCCAGCAAACGCCTGAATGAAGGTGGTCCTCACCTCTCAGGAACCGGGCATCACGTCATGCAGCTCACCACCCCCTGGCACCATGGCGTCCACTGGGCTTCCAAGAGGTTTCCCCTGTGACGTCCCATCACGAGAACCCACGGTATTTTTTAGCCTTGCCCTTTGCCTGTTCCAAGGGTCACTGGGTATGTACTAGGGCATGGAGTGGTCCAGCAAGGCACACCTGAACTTGGGATTGGACAGACCTGGCCTGTCACTACCTATCTGTATCAGTGGGCAGATCATGTTGTCTCTGAGCCAGTTTCTGTCATCTGTAAATAAGGATAAATGCTATGTATTCTGTTTATTATTCAGGATTGCATAAGGATCAAAATGGGACATTATGTCTGAATTAATACTGTGTATTTGTGCTTCTTTCCTTTTCACTATGGGGACCTGTCCCCTCACCTAGTTAAGGTTGTGGGCACCAGGGATAGAGGGTTCTCTTTCCTTCCCTAGCCTAGCTCTCTGCCCTCTGCTCTAACACAGAAGGATCAACAAGTGTTTCTTAAACAACAGAGCCTCTAATAATACTTTTGTCAATACAAATGTAGTATTAGATATTCATTTTATTAAACCAGTAGTAGTAAATTAGAAAAATCTCAACATGCAGAAAAGCTTCTAGCATTGGACCAAATTAGTGATTTTAGGGTGTAACTTGCACCCAGTTACATGTGAAGTTCCACTGTGGTTGTGTAGGTGGAAAGAGATGATAAGGAGTACCTCAATTATATCTTCAAGTAAACAAAGATATAAAACATTTTGTAATGAAGGTGCTGTTTCAGCATATCCATGATATAGTGAAAGGAAAGGGAATTTAACTCTCCTCACTGATTTGCTTGACTTAACAGAATTGTACTGACCTCAGCTCTTTGCCCACTCACTGGTTCTCACTCACTGAGCACTTGTTAAGCTAGAGGAATACAGTGGTGAACTAACTCACAGCCCCAATAACCAAGGAATGTTGACTAGTTATAAAATCAGGTGGTCTTCAGTGACTGAAGGAAATGGATTCCTGACTCCATCCCTGCAGTAATACAAAAAAACTGGCACTCATTGGTCATCCTATTTAGTCAGCACCAGCTGACAGGGGCGTCAGTCTACAGTCATGGCTACAGCTTCCTGCCACATGAAATCTCCATAGCACTTTGCTTCTCCAAATAACAGTCTGGAGTACTTTGGCTCTGAGGAATGGTATAGCCGAGTGTCTCAGGACAAGGGTCCTGGAATCCGACAGCCTGTGCTCAGTTCGTGGTGCTACCAGTTACTGTGTGAGCACGGGCCAGTGCTGAACTCCTCCCGGTGACTGTGTGAGCGCGGGCCAGTGCTGAACTCCTCCCGGTGGGGCTGTGTGAGCGCGGGCCAGTGCTGGACTCCTCCCTGTGGGGCTGTGTGAGCGCGGGCCAGTGCTGAACTCCTCCCGGTGACTGTGTGAGCGCGGGCCAGTGCTGGACTCCTCCCTGTGGGGCTGTGTGAGCGCGGGCCAGTGCTGAACTCCTCCCGGTGACTGTGTGAGCGCGGGCCAGTGCTGGACTCCTCCCGGTGACTGTGTGAGCGCGGGCCAGTGCTGGACTCCTCCCGGTGACTGTGTGAGCGCGGGCCAGTGCTGGACTCCTCCCGGTGACTGTGTGAGCACGGGCCAGTGCTGGACTCCTCCCGGTGACTGTGTGAGCGCGGGCCAGTGCTGAACTCCTCCCGGTGGGGCTGTGTGAGCACGGGCCAGTGCTGGACTCCTCCCGGTGACTGTGTGAGCGCGGGCCAGTGCTGGACTCCTCCCGGTGACTGTGTGAGCGCGGGCCAGTGCTGGACTCCTCCCGGTGACTGTGTGAGCGCGGGCCAGTGCTGGACTCCTCCCGGTGACTGTGTGAGCGCGGGCCAGTGCTGAACTCCTCCCTGTGGGGCTGTGTGAGCGCGGGCCAGTGCTGAACTCCTCCCTGTGGGGCTGTGTGAGCGCGGGCCAGTGCTGAACTCCTCCCGGTGTGACTGTGTGAGCGTGGGCCAGTGCTGGACTCCTCCCGGTGACTGTGTGAGCGCGGGCCAGTGCTGGACTCCTCCCGGTGACTGTGTGAGCGCGGGCCAGTGCTGGACTCCTCCCGGTGACTGTGTGAGCGCGGGCCAGTGCTGAACTCCTCCCTGTGGGGCTGTGTGAGCGCGGGCCAGTGCTGAACTCCTCCCGGTGTGACTGTGTGAGCGTGGGCCAGTGCTGGACTCCTCCCTGTGGGGCTGTGTGAGCGCGGGCCAGTGCTGAACTCCTCCCGGTGACTGTGTGAGCGTGGGCCAGTGCTGGACTCCTCCCGGTGTGACTGTGTGAGCGTGGGCCAGTGCTGGACTCCTCCCGGTGACTGTGTGAGCGCGGGCCAGTGCTGAACTCCTCCCTGTGGGGCTGTGTGAGCGCGGGCCAGTGCTGAACTCCTCCCGGTGACTGTGTGAGCGCGGGCCAGTGCTGGACTCCTCCCTGTGGGGCTGTGTGAGCGCGGGCCAGTGCTGAACTCCTCCCGGTGACTGTGTGAGCGCGGGCCAGTGCTGGACTCCTCCCTGTGGGGCTGTGTGAGCGCGGGCCAGTGCTGAACTCCTCCCGGTGACTGTGTGAGCGCGGGCCAGTGCTGGACTCCTCCCGGTGACTGTGTGAGCGCGGGCCAGTGCTGGACTCCTCCCGGTGACTGTGTGAGCGCGGGCCAGTGCTGGACTCCTCCAGTTGACTGTGTGAGCGCGGGCCAGTGCTGGAACTCCTCCCGGTGACTGTGTGAGCGCGGGCCAGTGCTGAACTCCTCCCGGTGACTGTGTGAGCGCGGGCCAGTGCTGGACTCCTCCCGGTGACTGTGTGAGCGCGGGCCAGTGCTGGACTCCTCCCGGTGACTGTGTGAGCGCGGGCCAGTGCTGAACTCCTCCCGGTGACTGTGTGAGCGCGGGCCAGTGCTGAACTCCTCCCGGTGACTGTGTGAGCGCGGGCCAGTGCTGGACTCCTCCCTGTGGGGCTGTGTGAGCGCGGGCCAGTGCTGGACTCCTCCCGGTGACTGTGTGAGCGCGGGCCAGTGCTGGACTCCTCCCGGTGACTGTGTGAGCGTGGGCCAGTGCTGAACTCCTCCCTGTGGGGCTGTGTGAGCGCGGGCCAGTGCTGAACTCCTCCCGGTGACTGTGTGAGCGCGGGCCAGTGCTGGACTCCTCCCTGTGGGGCTGTGTGAGCGCGGGCCAGTGCTGGACTCCTCCCGGTGACTGTGTGAGCGCGGGCCAGTGCTGAACTCCTCCCGGTGACTGTGTGGGCGCGGGCCAGTGCTGGACTCCTCCCGGTGACTGTGTGAGCGCGGGCCAGTGCTGGACTCCTCCCGGTGACTGTGTGAGCGCGGGCCAGTGCTGGACTCCTCCCGGTGACTGTGTGAGCGCGGGCCAGTGCTGGACTCCTCCCGGTGACTGTGTGAGCGCGGGCCAGTGCTGGACTCCTCCCGGTGACTGTGTGAGCACGGGCCAGTGCTGGACTCCTCCCGGTGACTGTGTGAGCGCGGGCCAGTGCTGGACTCCTCCCGGTGACTGTGTGGGCGCGGGCCAGTGCTGGACTCCTCCCGGTGACTGTGTGGGCGCGGGCCAGTGCTGGACTCCTCCCGGTGACTGTGTGAGCGCGGGCCAGTGCTGGACTCCTCCCGGTGACTGTGTGAGCACGGGCCAGTGCTGGACTCCTCCCGGTGACTGTGTGAGCACGGGCCAGTGCTGGACTCCTCCCGGTGACTGTGTGAGCGCGGG